TTGTCCCTTGTGATATGCTTTTACAAGACAGCAGTAAATAACATAACCAGAAATGTATAATAAACTAACATTCTGGCTACTCAACTTGATCATTATTAAAATAATAGCACTAACCATAACCATAACCATAAGATAAGTTCTATCCTTTAAGAATAAAAGTGTTATGAATATTAATGTAATAATAAAAAATAATTTAGAAAACATCAAGATTATGTGTTTTTGATTATTGTGTTACAAATATATAATATTCTAACAATGTGTAACATTGTAACTGTAGATTAAAATATTATTATTTATTTACTTTTAATTAAGTGATTTTTAAATACTTAAATTTAAATACTTAAGACATAAAATACAACTAAGCACTGTCAGTTCTTTATTTTCATAACGTGCTATCTTTGAAAGTCTTTTTCCTTTTTTTAATCAAAGTCGCCTCTTTTCTTTCACAATCGTTTGACGTGGAAAAGCCAGTACTTCCTCCAAAGCTCTCTATTTAACAGCTCTGCATTCTGCTCTGTGAACTCCAGACCTCTCGTCCTGTCAGAGGTGAAGAAGTACTCTGCTCTGCTGAAGTCAGACTTCAAAAACAGAAAACTGTTGATTACAGTAAGATATGCATTTTTATTTGGATACAGTGTTAGAAATTAAAATAATGCAAATATTTTAAATACTGATCCTTCTATTTTGGTATCACTTGCCAACTTGACTATTTTACTTACTATGCCAGACTACAGATGTACGTATTATAATTATTGATATAAATATGAAAGTGCAGTTGTCCCAGTACAGATTCTTGTGGTACTCTACTTATTACTTTACCCAAATTGACCTGTAACTGATACAATTAAGATTATGTGTTTGTCAGTCATTATGAAAAATATCATGGACTTTAATTCCCAAATGCACTATAATTACAATATATGGAAATTATATCATAGGAACAAGTAATAGGTTTATTCCATGCTGAAAAAAAGAAGAGAAAACACGTTTCGGCCGTGGAGCCTTCTTCAGGTGTGAAGTGGATTTAGTTGACACCTGAAGAAGGCTCCACGGCCGAAACGTTGTGTTTTCTCTTCTTTTTCTCAGCATGGAATAAACCTATAACTTGTTCCTTTGCAGCCTACGCATTCTGACGCAGCTCCCCACCTGAAATTATACCATAGCCTACAAACTAATGAGGAAGAATTTTAGCATTTACCTTTTTTAAAGTGTATAATATAGTGATTAGTTGGCTTTGAAAATGCCTTTTACCCAGCAACAGTATGAAAGAACAATTGCAAACATATTATTTGACATTTTGATATTAATGCTACAACTGCAGAATGTGTAGCTCATTTCACACCTTTTATTTATATACTTCCTTTTGTCTGTATACAAGGTAAAACTGCTTCTTAAGAAGAACGTGGCCAATTACAAAGAAATGTTTGTAGAGAGAAAAACAACCCCTCATATGGAAACTGTGTGAATTTGCTGTATAAAACTCGTTGCATTTACCATCTCGGTGGAGAGGTTACTCACAGATCTGTATGATAGGCTGCTCTCAGATCTGCATGATTGTATCCTCCCCATGTGCATGAATAAACGACTCTGCTTGACCACACCTAACCTGAGTGAAGGGTTTTCTCCATCACTAACAACAACCATAGTTAATGTTTTTGCTGTGATGAACATGGAAGTATTTTTGTACAAAAAATATAAATTTCAGCACACAGATAATAACATAACAGTGACATAACCTTGTTGCTAGATCATATCGTTCCTAAGGGTTTACAGCGTCCTCTAAAAAGGAGGAGGCAGACTGGCCGGGACACAACCCAAATGATGAAGGTGGCTTTGATGAGGCTGTGCGAGTGAAAATAATTTCCTTAATGACTGACTTGATCAGTATTTGGTGCAGTTAAACAGTTAGGGATCTTTGAAGACATGACCAGTGAGCCCCATAGCTCTAGCTGAGAGTTTAAAGTGCAAGGTTTGTCTTTGCTAGGAGGCTCTCAGATGCTATCCATGTCTGACTGCTGTGAGCAGATGCTTTTTCTGCAGAAAGATATAGGATGGTTTAGATAGTGTAGACTGACTTTGAGACTCACTGCCAGCTTCCCTTCATTAACCTGTCTGCCTTTGTAGTGAGTCATGTAAAGAGACAGCCCTTGTT